ATTTCAGGTGGCACTGCACCAAGGAAGCATTAAATTACATAAAAGACAGATTTCCCAGAGAAATCCACCTTAAATACATTTCTTTTTTTAGACATGGATGCCAGCTTTACGTTAATACTCAACTTTAATTTATAATGATGCAAGTACAGCTACATCTCATCAGTTTCCAGTCATGGCCCTCCACCAAAAAGTGCTTTTTGCTGTCCAACTATCATTTATTTCTACTTTTAAAGCATTCAAAAGCAAATTCAGTCAATCTGGCTCTCTGAGTGAGCAGGCCAGTGGTGTGGGGCAGCTCAGGTGGGATTAAGGTGTCCTGAGAATGACTCTATAAATCCACTGCCAAAAATCATTAAGAAATCTTGAAAAAAATAAAAATCCAGAACCAAAACCAAATCCAAAGCATTTCGTGCACCAGTGTATTCAATATTCCCCGTTAACTGACAAAAGCTGAACAGTGTCACAAGCATTAAAGAATTTTGTTTGCTTGTTTTTCCAAGCTAATAAAACACCAATAGCTCTGGCTAAACTCATCCAGAACATATTGATGTTAAATTAACAAAAGGAGAAGCCCCTGAGCCCAGGCAAACAGCAATAATGCCTGGTTGGAGAAGGGGGAAATCACATTTTTATATGAAAAGTCCATCTGTAAGCAATTGTGCTAATGCTTTAAAGATGATCAGCTCAGGCTTTTGGACTCAAACAGGAAAACAACTCAAAATCTTATCAGGAAAGAGATTTTTCAACCTGAAAACAGATTCTGTCAAAATGTCAAAGGCCCAGATTTAGGTTCTGCCAAAAGAGACTTTAACAAGACCCACTTTGAAGAGAAATGCTGAGTTCAATTACCTTTGAACCTCACGAGGGAGAGCAGAAATCCAACCCCAAACAGTTTTCCTAAAGGAAACTGGAATTAAATAATGCCCAGTCTCATCCTCAGCCCCTCCACGAGCACACGGAGTGAACCCAACACCAGCACGGGGCAGGTGTCCCACAGAGGTGGAAAAATCCCAAAAATGAGCCTGGAAATGTTCCTTGGAGAAGCCAGAGCCATCAGCTGGGAGCAGGAGCCATCCCAGAGGCAGGAAATATCCTGGCCTGCTGCTGGAAAGGTGGGAGGTTTCAGGAGGTTCTGGTGGGAAGGGGCTGTAAAGAAACAGAAGGCAAAAAAAAAAAAAAAAAAAATCAAGTTTGGTGAAAATGTATTTCAGCATTAATTATCATTTCACTCAGTTCTGATCTTCTCTTTTCCCAAATTATTTATGCTCAACTTTGACATTAAAATTTCATTGGGTTTGCTCAGATCGACTTTATTTAGCAATGTTTAATTAGACTTTTGAGAGCATACATATATATATTAAAAATTCAGAACTACCCTAAACTGAAATGATATTTCATGACAAAATGTGATTTTTTTTTAATTTTTTTTTTTTTTTGCTTTAAGTGCAAGCTCTTTCCTGAATTTCCAGAATTATCAGTAAACCAAGGAGTCTCTGGTTTCCTTGGCTTACATGGATAGCTCAGGCTCTGCCTTTTCACTCTTTCCCCCTTGTCCCACTGAAGGGATGAAATCTCAGCAAAGTTCTTTGTAATTATTCAAAAAGACAAAAAATCAGTAATTAGGTCATGACTTTCAGAGAGGATTAATGAAAACATTTTACATGAGCAAAATGAGTTTTAAATGCCAGCGTGCCCCACAATTATTTATGTGGCTGAATCTGCCATGCAGAAGGCTCTGTCCTGGTGAAGTGTCCCACGTCCAAACGCATCCCTTCGTTAATTGTAGGATCTCCAGCAGCCACACACAACGTTTGCCAGCAGCTAAATCCGCTCGGTGGCAAAACATTCCAGGAGATATCGATGGGGAGAGGAGGAAAATCGGGGATAACCTTTCAGGATGGGCGGGTTTGCTGCCGTTCATCTCCCCGTCCTGGAGCTCCCGGTGGTGATTCCCACACTGGGCGGCTCGGCAGCGCCTTCCCCCGCAGGGCTGCGCCGGGATCACCGGCTGCTCTTGGGTTCTTTGGGATCAATTCGGGAATTCGCAGGGACCGCCGCTCGGGACCGCGGCTCCGGCGCCGCCGCTTGGCCGACACCGCCACCTAACGCCGGGAGAGCGGCCCCGGGAGCGCCGGGCAGGGAACGGGAATGGGAACGGGAACGGGAATGGGAATGGGAATGGGAACGGGAACGGGAACGGGAATGGGAATGGGAATGGGAATGGGAATGGGAACGGGAATGGGAATGGGAACGGGAACGGGAATGGGAATGGGAATGGGAATGGGAATGGGAACGGGAACGGGAACGGGAACGGGAATGGGAATGGGAATGGGAATGGGAACGGGAACGGGAATGGGAATGGGAACGGGAACGGGAATGGGAATGGGAATGGGAACGGGAATGGGAAAGGGAACGGAGTCAGAGCCCTGGAACGGGAATGAGAATGGAAACGGGAATGGGAATGGGAACGGGAACGGAGTCAGAGCTCTGGAACGGGAATGGGAATGGAAACGGGAATGGGAATGGGAACGGAGTCAGAGCCCTAGAACGGGAACGGGAATGGGAACGGGGCCCTGGAACGGGAATGATGCCCCGGAGCCCTGGCACTGGGAATGGTGTTCTCAGAGCCCTGCCCTGGCACTGGGAACGATGCTTCAGAGCCCTGGCAGGGGAACAGAGCTGCGGAGCTCTGGGACGGGAATGGTGTTCCCAGAGCCCTGGTGTGGGAACGGGAATGGAGCTCCGGAGCCCTGGTGTGGGAATGGAGCTCCGGAGCCCTGCCCTGGCATTGGGAATGGTGTTCCCAGAGCCCTGGCACCGGGAATGATGCTCCAGTGCTTTTCCCCTGGCACCGGGAATGCTGCTCCCAGAGCCCTTCCCAGCCCCTGAGCAGGCGGTGCCCCCGAGCGCTGGATTCTCTCGGGATGCAGCACACACGGAGCCTCTGCACCCCCGGAGGCTCAGGGACTTTTGAGAGGTGTTAAAACAACCCGGGTGAGCTCCTGGATGGAGTTCTCAGTGCTGGGAAAAGGCGTAAATGGAGGGGAAGCAAAGGGGGAAAACTTCTGGAGAGGGAATATTATTCCCAAAATCCAGATTTCCTGTCCTGCAGAAGGGGCTGGAGTGGATTGGGGTGCTTTGATTTCACACACACACAGGATAAAAAGCTGCTGGGGCTGCCTGGGACAGCCCAGACAGAACTGATCCCGCAGTGAGGGTGGGCTGGGAGGACACCTCACCTTCCCCTTGGATCCTTCAGGAAGGAGAGCCTGGGGCAGGAGGAGAAGCCTGAACCAGAGCATTTTGTGTGTGGCAGTGCCACGCTCATCCCGGCAGCCTCCTCCATGGAATTCTGCTCCAGCTGCTCCCCCAGCTCCTCATTTTTGCTTTATTTCACACCTGACCCAGTCCTGGAGTCTGTGTCCACCAAACTAAATAAAGCTTATCACACTCCTGACCCTCGTTCCAGATACCACGTGTCAAAACGGGCATTCTTGCAATTAGCACGTGATTACTCAATCTGCATAATTACACGTGGTAAATCAATCATGCTGCAGCCTGTTTGGAACTGCCAGATCTCATTTTCCTCAGTAATCCTGGATCATATGAATATCTTCAGTAGGAACTACTACTTTAGATGTTATGAATTAATATTAAGATGAAATTGAATTAAATGTACTGATTTTAATGTCATGAATGCACTCATAACTATTTTTTTCCCCTGAGAACCATCTGCAATTTAGAGACTTGCTAATCCTAATTAAATGCACTTTTCTCAAGTGTGTGCAAATGAACAGAGAAATCTGCTCGGGAAAGCACTTGCATATTTTCCATTTTCACAAAGGGGGAGAAGAAGCTGTTTGGTAGTTTAATATTAGCTCTTCCTCCTCAGCGAGAACGAGTTGCTTCCTTGCAATTTCAGGACAGTCAGGGATGGATCTAAAGGGGAAATTTGCTAAAAGCAGAGAAAGAAGTGCTGGTGGTGCTGCTCTGAACATCCACACCGGAGTTCAGCTATTTTGGACAGTGCTTGAAATCCCAAAATTCTGCTTGGAGGCAGCAAACAGAGCCTGGCACTCAGAGGTACCGAGCACACGGAATATTCTGTGCTGGTTCTCACCTTCAGCACTGGGGCTGCTCCTTGGTTTGAGCTTTGAGCTCAGTCCTGAACAAGCAGGTCTGACCTGAAACACCCCCAGGGACCAAGGAGAGCAGGGCTCAGGCTGGCTGCAGAGCTCACAGCACCCTGCTGTCCCCTCCAGCAGTGCCACCCAGCCCCCTGTGTGCCCCACGGGCCCAGGCAGCACTCACCACTCCATTTCCACAGCGTTCTGCCCATCAGCTCCCACCTTTGGAAGGGTTCACCCTCCCCAGCAGAGCTGCTTTTGTTAAACCAAGAGCCAGGCTCAGCTTATTCCTACAAACCAGCCCAGCCTGGGCTCATTAGTGCCCCCTCATTAGTGCCCCAACTGGGGCTGGGGCACACTGGGGCTCTCAGCAGGTGAAATCCCTCTCTCCCAAGGATGAGTTGCCTTGGACCAGTCTCCCCCAGGTGCCTTCCAAGCTGAGAATTTGAGTTTTGAGATGTGGTCAGAGGTGCTGGTGAGGTCTGGCACCTCAGGAGACCTAGAAAATTTTGCAGAACTTACTTGGTTTAAAAAAGGCAATAATAATTTAATACCAATTATGAAGTCTCACAATAAAAACCACAATTAATGCTCCTCTCAATGTTATTATCACAAAAAAATGCATTTAATAACTCAAGTTTCCTTTCTTGAAGGAAAATAACTGCAAGAGAAGAAAGCAGAAGTTTCTTCCTTATTTCAAGACAGATTTTCTGGGGAGTGACTCAGTATTTTCATGTAACTGAACATGAATTTGGATTTGCTTATTGGCAGCTTCTCCCTCTCCCCCAGCAATGCGAGGATAGTGAAAGGTCAAGTGAACATGAAATTCCAGGCAACTCCTTTTAAGCCTTAAAAGCAAGACACAGAAACCAGTTTTGCAAAACACCAAGTCTATATTTACATCCACATGTAATAATATACTCAACTAAAGTGAAATACATCATAAATTAAATGAGTAATGTGTGCCTGCTGCTTGCCGACTTCCGGTTCCAACAATTAAAATAGAACAAAATGGAATGAAATAAATACATTTTAAAAAAGAAAAAAAAGGAAAAAAAAAAATCAACAATTTGTACCTCTATATATGCACTGTTATTTCCAAAGGAACATACAAAACCAGTAGTATCCCAATAGTTAATACTGATGGCAAAGTGTGGTGATGCTGCCATGGAATGGAGTCTTCAGGTCCATTTTTCCATTCCAACCCCAAAAAAAGCCTTGAGGGAAACTGTACCAGCATGAAGGGAGATTAAAAACAAACAAGCCTTAGGTCTGTTTGCTGCAACACGTTAAAAAGCAGCCCTGCCCCGTGTGGCACAGGCAGAGCAGCTCCAGCCCTGCACCTCCAGGACAGGGAGAGATCACACACAAAAATAGATTAACCCTTTTCCAAGTGAATTCATCTTCAAAAAATAGGCTATAAAAGTGCAAAACTAGGAAAACAAAATCTAGATTATGTACATATGGCTCAGCTTATGAACAGGAAAACAGGTCAATAGTGTACAATTTCCTGATACACAGCACTTCATTCCATTGCCAGTTTACAGAGACATTAAAAACCAGTCCCATTTACAGGAACTAAGACAACTGGAACATCTCAAGTTGCATAATGAAAAAACAAGAGTTTCTAGGTTTTGCTATTTTACATTTGTTGTAAGAGGGAAGAGAGAAAAACAAACAGTGCAAAATATTTAATTGTTTTGTTTTACTAAAATATATGGAAGTCAAAGCCAGGTACAGAAGGAATTAACTCTTAACTACAACTTCATGAGAAGAAACGAGGAAGGCAAGTTAAAATATGCAACAGTTCTGCTTTACTGGCTGGTAACTGGCCATCTTCCCTTTACAAAAATTAAACTGCATGTGCATTAGAAAAAACTCTTGTTGTCTTCACAAAAAAATAAAAGGAGATATTCTCCCATTTACAGGTTATTTCTCACTCATTTTAAACACCCAGTAGATGCTAAAACTTGACATCAAGAAGCTTCCAAGCACAGTCAAGTAGGCTCCATCACAGCCACATCCCTTTTGCAGTCTGCAGAACCCAAATTCATATTTCAAGGCTCTCATTTGAGACTTTACAGCTTTGGACAAAGGTGCAAAGGAGTTTTTTTTTTTCTTGAAATGTGACTGTGTGGAGCTTAGTACAGAACCAAACATTTGAAACATGAAGATTATTATTGTTTCTCAAGCAAGTCCCAGGGATTTTCTGTTTGGATGGTGGCAGAGGTGTTTTTAAGAGGCTTCTCTGAAGAACAGCAACCAGTGCCAAGAGAAGAATCCAGCCACATTTCAGGAAATCCAAAATGTCAAGTATTGCCTCATGTTTGCATTTAAAAGCATGCTGGAAAGAACCCCAGAGCAGCAGAGCCCTCCAGCACGTCCTGGTCCTCACCCAGCCAAGGCAGATCAATGTCAGCACCGTTGCTTTAATGTTCACAACATTTATAAACCGGACACTTTCAGACAGTTTATTTGGAACTTTGAAAAAACTAACATAGTTCAACAGGGAAAAAAAAACCAACAGATGAGAAACTTTCACTTTTATGAAAAAGGAGCATTACGCCAACAGGATTTTCAACTTCAATATTTACAGTTTACCTGAGGTGCAACGATATATATTCTTTCCAAGAGAAAACTCTTCAGCAGCGCTCAAGTATGTAAAAATAGAACTCCTACCTAATATTTGGTCAATTAAATCTAATGAAAAATACTCAAAAGTCAAGGTCAAGATATACATTCTCCACACACCTTCATAACCCAACTGTTTAGACTACTTTTGTATGGCTATTTGGTACAAAATGTTAAAAGAACCAATATTATAAAACTGTAGTGTTTCTATATACAGTACAATCACAGCTTAGTTCAGTAGCTTTCACCATTTTCTCTTCCTCAGGGGATGAACTGCAGGTATAACTCCATGGAATATGCACTTGTGTCCTTAGACCTGGGGGGGGGGAAAAAAGAGGAATAAATATAAATTTGTGGTGTACAGCTCTAAAATACAGCACAGTTTTTGCTGGGAGGAGTGTCTTTATAACAAAGGGAATTCCTTCCACATCCTTGCTGAAGAATTGATACTGCCATGGAAGCATGCATTGCCAGCTTTTATCTGGCAAATAAAGAATACTTTGGAAGATGCTCAGCCCCAGGAAGAATTTCAGGCATGAAATCAAGTTAACAACACAACCAGACACATCTGTGCTTAGCAGGGGGACAATAAGAGCAGTAAGATTAGAAGAATACCAAGAAATAAAAGTGTTTTAAAAGCTGTCAACTCAATGTCTGATAGCTCTTTCCATAAAATCATGTGTGCTGGCCCAGGTGCTATAGCATTCCAGAAATACTCCTTAAGTATTCCCCTAAAAGGGAAATGATCTGTAGCTCTGGGTTAGAAAATGCAAACACATCTATTTATTTCCAGTCCTGCAGAGCACTTCTGTCCTGAGCAGTGAAGGCTGCTGCAGGCACAAGGGTGTTGAGGCCTCAGACCCAGCACTGAGGAGATGAACCAGGTACAGCACCAGGTACAGCTGACCTCCCTCCCCAGGAGGGCACAGCCTCCCTCTGCCAAGCAGGGAAAGCATCTGGGATAACCCTGGATGACAGGGAGGGGCTGCCAGGAAGGTCTCCCTTCCCTCTGGACTCAGCCACCCCGGAGCTGTGGTCTGAGGAGCCCTGAGTGCTCAGCAGGGGCAGCATGAGCAGGGTCTGCACCTTCAGGAGGGCCCAGCCAGCAACCCCCAGCACCCACAGCTGTGCCACAGGCACCTCCTCTCACTGCTGCTCCTCCACCCTCAAGGACTGGCTCAACTTCCACGTCCTGGCTTTCACTGAACACTTCCCACTGGAATTGTAAGTAATTAATGTATTTATCTAATGTGACCCTCCCATTTCTCTTCAAAAAGGAGCATTTTGTCCCTATCAAAGAAGCCATTATCACCACTCCAAACAATCGGTGCTGCCACCCCAGCACCTGGTGCTTTTATAAGGAGGAAATTTTTATCTTTTCAGGCTCAGACTTTCACAAGCTCTCCTCATGCTGCGCAGGAACCTTTGATGCCATCAGCACCCCATGCAACGTTTAAGGAACAATTAGTTCAGAAGGTTTGTGTACCGTTCTTGAGTGATTCAGTTCTTCTTGTCACTGGGTCTGAAGGGTGTGTTCCCCACAAAGGACTCGTAACTTCTCTTCTGCAGCAGGTTGCTGGGTAAGTGTTGGTATGACACTGATCTCTTTCCTGGAAAAAAAAAAATCATTTAAGGGAGTTAGCATTATTTCCTGCTCCTCCCAGCATCCAGAATCCAAAATAACTTGACAAATCATCTCACAATCAGATATTCCTATTATAGGAAATTCAGGATGCAGAATAAATACAAGGAGAATGAAAAGATAATTTAACAGCTTTGTGCTAAATTTTATCCAGGTGATGTCCAGCTCCAAATTTTACTCATTTGCATGAAAGAAATGTCTTTGCTTAACTCATCCCACAGCAGATGCCCTGCCTAAGGAGGTCTAAGTGCTGCACCTTTAATGCCTAATTCAGTTCCTGTATTTGTCTGAAAACTGAATTTTTCAATGAGTATTTGAGAAGGAAACTGGCTTCATTGCTGCCATCAAGGATTACATGGAACTCATGACACTTTAAAGAGTTTTAATACACATTTACTTGCAGACCGTTGTTAAGCAATTTTCAGCCTAGTATACAGGTAGTTTTGTGTTTATCTGAGACCATTAATTCACATTTATAAATGTGAAATCAATGCCTGCTCCATATTAAGTCTTACTGGCTTAGGCAAGCAGTCAAAAACACTTCATAAAATTAAGGCAAAAAGTCCAGAATCATTACTCCCACAGGATCCAAAAAACCCAACTGCCATCCATATTCCATGAAAGCTTCCAGTGCAGCATTGAAAAAAAAAAAAAAAAAAACTCCTCATCTTTAATTAAATTAAAATGGCACAGCCAAATTAATATTTCAACAGAATCCACGGAGCCATTGGAGTGTGTCACGAGCAATTGTCTTTAATTTGCAGCCTCTGCCAAATCAATCAGCCAACAGGTTATCCCTGATAACATGTTGCCATTGCAAAGGCAACTAATTTGAGAATAACACAAACTGAGTGGTTTCAGAATGTTTCTGTCTCTTCAGGGCAACACGGGATGGCAAAGCTTACAAGCAATAAGGGAAGGCATCATGCTTTAATCAAGTTTGCCAAGTGGAACATATTCTCCTGACAACTTGATCCAGCATTTAACATGAGACAGAACACGTCGGGGGCACCACGGGGATGCTGCCACGAGGCACTGGGCCCTTAGAACAAGGTTTTGACATCGTGGATTAGAAAATCAGCAGGGTTCAAGGGGAAGAGGGGGCAGAAAGCTGCAGGTCTGCACCTGCACAACTCTGCAGATGGTATCACACAGCTGAAGTCTAGAGGAGCTGTTGTGTTTCAGATTTTTAACAAAAAATAAAAAGAATTTAAAAAAAAAAACTTTTATCTCTGCTCTCCCCCCACAATAAAATTCTAACACTGAGACAAGCTGCTGGGCTGTTATCCTGTACCCTTCTCAATAATGATCAAGGTTTGGGCTGGGTATTTCTAAGCAAATTGGTTGAAAAACAAGAAATTAACCTTACAAACCCACATCTTCTAGCCCAGGGCTTTTATGGAAGTTGCTATGAAAGCCCAGTAGAAGGGGGCTGGTTTCAGAGCCTTTCCAATGGAGGTAACAGCCATAAAAAGTTGCTTTTCTCGCCCTGAGCCACCAGCAGCAGGGGTAATGAACAATGAAATCCTCATTTCCATGACAACAATGCTGTCAAATTAGCTGCAGCCACAGTTCTGGGGGCTCTAAATAACAAAGTTCCTGTCTGCAGGGCAGTGTCTCCAGGCTGGCACCAGGGAAGAGGAAGCAAAGCCCAGCCTGAGACCATTCTGCACAGGTGGAGCTTCCAAAAGACGAACCAGGTGGATTCCAGTGAAGTCAGTGCTGAAAACCAGAGCTGCTCCTGCAGCAGGCTCCCTGCTGACACCTCCCCATCCCTCCCCTCGCTCACTGATCCCTGTCACACCCCCAGCACAGGGGATTCTGTGCTCCTGCAGCCCAGGGCCCACTGTGCATTTCTCACAGCAGCCCAGGGTACACAGCCCCAAAGCAGGAGCTGACCCCATTTCCTCACCCTCCAGTGACTCAGCTCTGGTGCTTTTCCTTCTCCACTCCCTGCCCAGCCTGGCCACACAGCTGTGACACCTTCCCTCACCCTTCCCATAACCCACTAGGAAAGCCTGCATATTTATATATAAATATGAATTCTTTCTATGTGATGTATTTTTGAAGCCCACAACCTTAAAACAAGCAAACAAAAAGCAGAACAGAGTGAGCAAATACTTTTTTTTTGCCTCATAACTAAATGTGGATTCAGTATTTGCAGTTTGCTGACCTGAGGGAACACACCCCTGCTTGTTACCATCCCAGACTACTTCAGAGGAGCAACTTTACTGCTTGCAGAGAACGGGAGCATTCAGAGTTCAGCAACTTCACAGACTTCCAGACTACACAGCCCACACAGGCTATTCATTTTTATAATGGGATCTTCGTCTCAAAATTCAAAGTCCTGTATTTGTAGCTAAGTCCATGCTGAGCTCAGCTTCAAGTCATAAATACCACCTTCTACAAATAGTCAGACAACTGCTTAAATATCACCCAGCACCTTTTAATCTTGGCCTCCTGCTGACTTTTTGAACATGTTGACCAAGGACAAAACACAAAAAGCATGTATTTTGTAGAAGTACCAGAGTTCTCCCAATACATCACAAATCATTTATCTCTGCTAGGCCCAAAAGTTTCCACTGAGCATTGCTACACCATAATTAGAATAGCAGAAATCTGTTGTCTTGATTTAACAAAGTATTCTGTTCCTACTAGAAGTTAAACATTAAAAAAAAAAAAAAAACCCATTGAAGAGCAGAAGTCTAAAATCTACATCAGTTTTATGATCTGCAATACATCCTTTTCTGCTCTTGAAGGGAACAATTGTCCATGGCAGCTTTTTTTTTTTTTTGTTTGTTTTTTTGGTAAAAAGTTTTATTAATATTCCAGATGGTGCAAGACTTCTGGCACATTAAGCAGAAAGGCTCCATTCCATATCCTGAATTAGTCAACATGTCTGGAGAGGTCTGATGAGCAAACAATACATGTCTGCCATCAGAAACCCATGGCAGAGGGGAAGGGGGAACATGAGGAACTTCAGACCCCTCTTTAAAATTCAGCCCTTCCACACCTAACTCCCCAATCCAGGAGTTTGCTGAACCTGGATTTTAAGTTTAAAATCCAAGCACTGACTGAACCTGGTGAAATGCTAAGTACAGCTGTATTTTCAATGTTTTAAGGTGGGCACACACTCATTTATACCCCATTCCCCTCCCTGTGCAGTGGTGTGAGAGGGGGAAGGAGGGATTGTACCTTCTCCTGTCGAGCTGGTGACTTGGCCATTGCTAGATCCACAGGAACCATAAAGTGATCCAGAGCTGTATGGCTCGTAAGCTTTGAGAGCAGTCAATCCATTGGGAGGATCAGCATCATCTGCACTGAGGAGCCCTTGTTTGGTTGGCAGAACAGAGGATGTGGGTTTGGTACGAGGGTATTCCTGAGGTAGCAGATTTGCATATCTGTTTGCAACACGAAATCTGCTCATTTCGTATCTCCTGTAATTAGCCAGAGGAGAGTCCAGGTGCTCCACAGCTACCACAGAGGGTTTCATCCGTTTGGAAGAGGTTTCTCCATAGTCCAGACTTGCATTGCTCCCAGATTTACTACAGAGATAGTCTCTCCCTCTCTGGCAAGCCCAGCCAGGTTCATTGAGGTGAGACTCGAGAACCCCATTCATGCTGCTGCTGACCAGACCGGACTGAGTCACTGGGGCACCCAGAACTTTGATTTTATATTCAGATTTTTTTACTCTGTCCAGTACTGGAGAGATCCTGAAACTGGAGTGCACTTCTTCTTGCTGAGGTTGTCTGTAGTTGTTTGCCTGAGCTCCAATGTTGCTTTGCTGTTTATGAAACTTGAGGTTACTCGGGGCTGCACTGCTCGACTCGCTCACGGAGAAGAGAGGGGCTTTGTTCTGAGGAGGGGCACACTGCTTGGCTTTCCCTGTCTGCAGTGGCTTTTGCTGTGGATTTGTGGAAGCCTTGTTTTTATTGGGATGGAGAGGCAGAGGAGGCACATCCTTGCCCAGCAGGGCCGGGGGGCAGCCCGTGCGCCGGGCCTTGGCCACAGCCCTGCTCCTGTAGCCGTTCTTGTTAACAGTGTCGGGGTTGTACTTGTGCATCAGCCTCTGGTGCATCATGAGGACCTCGGGGTAAAATGTCCTGTAGGTACAGAAGGGGCAGGTGCTGGGGGCCAGCAGGCCTCTGCTTGCAATCACTGAACACTCCTGGGAAGTTTTACTGGATAAGTCCAAGGGCTGCTCGTGGCAGTCCACGACAGGTCTGCGTTTGTAGTTCTCAGTGCATTCTTGCATATTGTTCACATTTTTCCCACCAATAAAAGCACAGATATACTGGACATCATCTTCCTCTGATGCCACAGAAGCCTTTCTCTCTCTTTTAGGCTGAGCTTCCTTGGCTTCCTTCTCAGCCCTTAGTTTCTCTGGGTAAGGCGCAGGCACGTTCTCAGGTACTTGATTCAAACCGCTACAAACAGAACCTTTGTTCGATTCCCTGGAATTGTTCTTTACTTTTAAAAAGACTGTGCTGCCTATTGCATTGCTCAAGGACAGAACTTCCTTTTGCTGCTTGGCAGGTGGGCAGCTCTCAGCATCTTTGGCACCATCAAAAAGCCTCTTCAGGTTTTTGGTTTCTGGAGCAGCATCAGCAGCCAGCGACAGCGCCGTGTCCTGACCCCGCAGGGAACCTTTGCTGTCACCCTTCCCATCAGCTGCACTGTCACCGTGCCTGTCCTTGTGGTGTCTCTCTAAATGATACCTCAGGGAAGTTTTCTGGGCTGCTGCATACTCACAGAATTCACATTTGTACGGCTTTTCACCTGCAACACAGATTTATCAGTAAATCAGTCTGAGATTTGAAGTCTTGATCACAAACGCAAGGGAACATTGTGGACTCTAAAACACTAAAACTGATTTTTCTCTCCCCTTCCACACTCCTAAGTCCCAAACTCACGTAAAACATTTAAACAACAGTATCTTAATGCTTTTACTACCTACAGTGACATCTTCTGGCTGTGCTGGGATGTTTCTGGCTATGGATGGAGATGGGAGCTGACAAAGTGCTTGGCAGAGATAAACAAGGAGTGGAACTCTGGGTCAACCCCAACAAGTTCCAGCCCTTGATCATCCCACAAGTGCCCTATTCCCAACACAAATGGGGCAGCTCAGCTGCAAACAGAGCTGCCTCCCAAGAACACACAGGCAGCAGCAGCAAGGGTTTGTCTGGCTATGCAGAACAAGGTGCTGAGTTGAAAAAGAGACTCAGCTTTTCCCCAGGTAGCAGCAGCTGGCAGACAACCAACTTCACACCTGAGAAATTGGCTGGTTTTTAAATTAAAACCAAACCCTAAACTTTTGCTATACCACTAAATGTAGAAAAAATTAAAATTTTAAAATATATGGTTTTAGTAATACTTAATGCAATTAGCATTACTTAAAACCATTTATACTTATGTAAATAATTCAAATAAATTTTAATTGCAATTATTTAATTTTGCTTAGAATTAGAGAAAACTTTGTTCTTAACATCAGCAATTTTGAAGGCAGTTTCTGTTTTTCAAAGGCAAAATCAAACATTCTATCCAAGTGGATTCAGCAGATTTCCCTCCCCTCCCCAAAAGGTGTAGCCCCCATTTACCTGTATGAGTTCTGAGATGAATATTGAGGTAATAATTGGAGCGAAAATACTTTCCACAGTAGCTGCATTCTCTGGAGGTTCCAAGAGTTTTAACTTTTGTTCTTTCCAAACTGTCTTCATTTTTATCTTTGGGAGAAAACACAGGCATATTATGAAGAGCAAATGCAAATTTGCAGTCTTATTAAAAACAGTAATTTTTTTCATGATAAACATAAAATTCTGAACTGCAGTCAAATTCTACACTCTGCAAGTAACTTTTGCTGTGTTTTGCTGCACTCTGAGTAACAAGAGCACAAGAGTTAGAGAGATTTCTGTCCACAACACTGTGGTTTGTGACAGCGACCAAGGAGCCCACAGAACGATGCAAAATAAGATCCAAAGAAGAAAAAAAAAAGTTCTCTTTCTTGACCTACAGGACCCTGATGGAGAATGGCCCACCTCAAATACTCACACAGGTTATAAACTGTATTATTTTATTAAAGGGGTGTTTGAATTAGTGTGAGTGGGATGATTCAGACAAAAACCTCTCTGTGCATGACAGCCAAACACAGACAGGTGGAGAAGGAAGGCAAATATACCTTTTCTTTAAAATTAATTATAATAATGGCATTATTTATCTGCTAATCAATGGAATGTCTGTAGAGAGACACTCCTTAGATTTGATGAGGAATATTTCCTACAAGCTCCTTAGATTCAAGAGGAATATTTCACTGTATTATTATGGAGTGAGGAAATGCCAGGGTGTCCCAATGGGTTGGTTCCCCGGGTATTCCAGGAACAAACCCAGGGATAAGCAGCAGTTCCACTCCAGTGCAGAGGCAGGAGGTGCCACAGGAGGGCGGCAGGGACAGCGGAATGGCAGAGAATTCACCCAAACACCGACTGCAGCTCCCATTGAAAATCCAGACAACTGCACTCAACACCCAAGGCAAGGCTGACTGGAAACCTTGGGAGGAAGGAGACCTTCGGTGTGACTAAGAAGTCGGATATATAATAGACTTGAAAGAGTTCTTTGAGGTTCCTGCCTGCTGGAAAGTCTCTCCTGGAAATGCAGTGCATGGCTCAGCCCTGGAGAGTTAAACAAACAGCTCGTGTCTCCAGAGGTGTGACTCAGCAGCTCGCACCAAAATCTGCTCTGCTTTAGGATAAGGCGCTGGGAAACAAACTAAGCAACTTCACATTAGGTAATCATTTCATTCCTTTGTTCCTGCAGGCGAAATAAAGGGCTGCACATTACCAGAAATGGCAAAGTCAGGCCTGTGTGGGTGCCAGGACATTCTGTACGCCGTGTCTTGCCCTGAGATTATGCAAGTGTCTGTTCTTCAAAGCCGGCTGGGAGCATGTCACACACAGAAGGGCAGATTAGCTGGAGACTTTCTGCCAGGCCTTTTGTCCCCTGACATGCAATCTTTTTCAATTAAGGAATCATTCAGTATCACTTGCTTTTCTAAGACACTGTGACACGCAGAATTAATCCTGGGTAATGTACAGATGGAGTCCATCCACGCTGTCAGCAATCCTTCCAGACAGAGGAGTTAAATATACACCTCTCTTACATACAGGTCCACAAATTAACAGCCTGTGGCCTTACACAAATGATTCAAATATGCGGGTTCTGACATTTAGCCTTTCAAATTACTGTTCAAAACAAACACTGAACTTGCAGTTACACAGAAAAAAGTTTTAAATTACTCTTTACTTCTCAGAGCCTCAAAAACTGCTGGTGTCGAGCACTGAACATTTTTTGCCCTTACAAGATAAAGGGAGGAAGAAAGTGATACTGCAATTATTTCTCATAAAATACTCTTTGTAAAATCATGTGCTGGATGAGAAGGGATATAGAACACTCCAAAGCATTCAGTAAAGTCACAGATAAAGAGTGAGTAAACAGTGACTTTTTCCAGTTGTTAAACTCACTGCTATGAAATCTACTTCAATGACTGCAGTAACAGCAAGAAGCCCCAACACAACTTCAAAGAAGGCAGCATCCAAACCTTCCTTACCTCTCATTTTTCTCTGTTCCCTTTCCCCCACCATAACATTCCCTATCTAGTTTTTTAACATTTCCTATCACGTTCTGAAAAGATAACGGAAAAGCGCGACGCATTCTTTGGCTCTAAGGAGTTCCTAAACAACTCTCAGTAACAGCCACTTCAAACTGAAGTGCTCCCCGTGCTACTCACCTAAATTAATTGTTTCTGGAAGCCCATCTTCAGAGCCATCCTCAGAGCCTCCCTCCATCCTCTCTGCTGCTCCGTTCTCCTCCAGGTTCCCAATGATGTCGGCACAGAAGGTCCTGGCAGCAGAGGAGGTCTCTCCATCACCCCGCCGGTCCCTCTTGTGCACTCTGGAGTGAAGGACCAGCTGGTGGTATGTCCTGAAGGCTTTCCCACACTCAGAGCAGTGGGTTGGCTTCTCTTTGTTCTGGGATGATTTAGAATCCATCTCCATAGAAGGCACTTCACCAGCGGGATGTTTCAGTTTGTCCTGGGTTAAGTTACCATTCCCTGTGAAACTGCTGTTTTTATTTACCTTTGACTTCCCTGTAGTTTCAGCCTGGCTACCTTTATTTGCATTCCAAATTTCACAGAGTTCTTCTTTATCTGAAGATGACTCATCGTTGTCTGTACTTCCTTCTTGCCCTGGCTCTTTGATCTGCCCGTGGCCAACTGCAATTTTACCTTTGGTAGCCAGCTGCCATGCTTGATACGTGGTGAAAGGATCCAGCTCAGCGATCCACTTCGCAAGCTTCTGCAGTTTGTCCTTTTCTGGAACTGAATTTGGTCTTAAGTTCAAGAACTGGAAAAATTCCTGGTTTTGAGATGTTTCTTCTGCATTGACTTCAGCAGTCACTTGGGGGCTTTCACCATTGGGAACTGATTCTTTGGTATGCACTTTACTGTGCTCAATTAGAGTCTCTTTATTGTGAAATAGGAAACCACAAACCATACAAATTTTGTAAGGTGACGTTACATTTTCAGTTACGTGCTCCTGCACCACCTCATTTATTGTTATGGGGCCTTCAGAACCTTGCTGATGCTTGTTTCTAGAACCAGGTTTTCCAGTGTGCGTTCTCATATGATTTTTGAGGAACCACGGCTCTTTAAATCTTCGCCCACAGACGTTACACCAATACGTGAAAGAATCTTTATGCTTTTTCATGTGCGCCTCAATGTCAAAAGCTTTATCAAACGTTTGCCCACAAACTTTGCAGCTCAGCTCCTCGCTGTCCTGCTCGTTGCTCGGCGAAGGTGAGCTGGTTCTTACCTGACACTTATCCAGAGGGCTCAGATACTCAGCCTCCACCCTGAGCACGGCGGGCTCGCACAGCGTGGGCCTGTGCTCAGTTAACACGTGCTTCCCCAGCTCCTCGGGCTGCTTGAAAGTCTCATCACAGAACATGCAGTCCAGGGGCATGCAGCCCTCGGCCTGCAGCAGGAACTTCTCCTGCAGGCTTTTGTAGGAGATGGTGTTGGTTCCTTTGATGGTCATGGAGGCATCGCTGGTCTCCATCTGGGCTCCCACGGCGCTGGCGATTCCCTCGGGTCCGTCCATGTATGCCAAGAGAGGCTGCGTGGGCATCTTTCCTCCCTTCTGCTCCCTTTTACATCTCTTAATGGCAGCCTGCACTTCTCTGGGGGTGCTCCCTGATCACAGTAAGGACACTTGTAGAGTTCTCCAACATGTGCTCAAAAGTCTGCTCAGCTAGAAAACCTCTGCCAGGAAAATTATTTTTAATTTTTTCTTTCCATCAGCAGAAAACTGTTTCTTCTTCAGCTTTATGTGCTTTCACACATCCCAGCAAAAGTATCCACAGATTTGCTCAGTGACGGGATGAGGTTTTTTTGGATTGTTTCTTGAGATTTTTCAAGTCTACAGATACAGTCAGTTGCACTTAGTTTTGTTGCACAAACTTTTCAAATAGTTGCATTGGGTAAAATACACTCAAGGCCAAGTTCAGTGCCACAATGAAACTCCAGCACCTGGGAAAGAGACAAAAGAGTTAGTCAGACCTTTCAAAAGAGAAGTACTGTCTCCCAAACAATCAAAATATTAGGGCTGAGAACCTTTAGAAGAAAGTGCATTTTTAAAAGCCAACGAGGGATAGGTAGAAGGCACCTGGGTCACTTTTCCATCTGCCACAGTTGAAATAGTTTGGTCCTGAACATCCATCCCTCTGTTTACAACTGTTATTTCTTTGCAGGACGTTGTCTATTCTTTCTAAACCTGCACTTACCCAGTTATATAATGCTGCTGAAACCGTATTTCAGTGCACTCCTGAACTCATACCAATGCAGTAGCCCAAGTAACCTTTCCTTGAACCTGCAAAACCACAGCAGAACTTCACTTGTTTGTCCTCTAAAGGCTGTTAAGCAAAAGGGGTTTTTTTGGGTTGTTTTGTTTTTTTTTAAGACCAGATAGCTTGGCGTCAGCTTTTATAGTTCTGGTACACAGGGAGTGTCAGCACAAATCTTTGTATTAAGAACCATTCACCAGTCCCACTACTCAAAGCTTTCCCTATCACCCACAAATTTACAATGTCTGAAACAATTTTGGGCTGCTACGTAAGAAGATCTCAACGTTTTGTATGAACTAGTAATACTGTTTCTTTAACAGTGGTTTATTATTTAAATCATCCAAGAGGCCAATTATTACATTATGAAAACAAAATTCTTCTACTTTTAAAGTGGCACAAAACAAAAAATTATTTATTGGTTATACTCACAAAGAAAGATTCCATGAGATTAAACAGGGTTATAACATAGTTAATCACAACTCCAATTTAAATCTCGGAGTTGTAATGCCTGTTAGCAGCAACTCATGGGCCAACACTTTGGGCTGACAAACTATACTTTTGTGAGTTCAGGACTCTAATTGATGAAATTTTTGGGTAAAGGAAAAGTCTAGCAAACTAATACAAGACTAATATAAACTGCAGAAGAATCATTCTGAGACATTTCCAAATAAAGTAATAACTAATGAAAAGAATTCATTCAAAATCTGACTCAAACTTTGGCAAATTATTTCCTAAGAGCCAGCTGGCCAGTGACCACATGACTTGAACTAATATACCCCAAAATACATTATTCTCTATAACTCTTAGAGCAGAAAACAGCACGGACACAGCTGGGGTTTAAAATTCACCTCAATTTCCACCTTTGCCTTGCTTTTATATGGAGAAAAAGGAAGCATTTTGTTTTATTTGACCCAAAGAAAGGACAGTAACTTAACCACAGCCCTGCAATGGTTCAGGCTGTCAGCTTTCCACGATAAAGATGATTATCAGTTGACTCTCAGCTATTTCTGATCAGAGGTGGCTGGACAGAAAAAGTGGTCTCAAGCCATTAAATCTTAAACCATTTCAGTAGGAATCAGCCCAGGCAAGAGAAGCAGCTGGGGAAGGAAACCTCAGCACACACTGAGGAGTCATGGATCCAGCATCTCAAACACTTCATTCACTTCCTGCAGCCTTGCCCTGAGAACACTCCTCGCTTTTAATTTGAAAAGTCAGCACCTCCTTTCCCACCATGCAGACCACAAGATCCTGGGGCCTAATGAACATGGGTAAAAATAGAAAATAAAATAGAAAATAAAACACCACCACACCAGAATGCCAATAACAGGAGAAAATTATTGTTGCCAACTGCTTTTAATTTTTTTCTGTTTCTCCAAAGCTTAAAGTCTCTTCACCACCCAGTCCTCTAACCCAGGGTGACACCATCAGCACATTAATATCAAGAATTGTATAGGGTTTTTTTAGACCCGGGCCAAAGACTTATCCCAAGTCAGACACAAATGCAGGATGTTGCAGGGTAAAGTGGAGTGTAAGAGGAACAGATCACTGCTGATGGCGACAGAAGCTGCATTTTCTGCAGCCAAAGTCTCTCTTCTACCTACGCCCTTTATCCCCATCTTCAGTTTCATCACTGCCATGATTAACACTTCCTCTCTGCAGAATGAATCAAAAATCTCCTGTAACAGGCAGGTTCCCTTCAGTGTGGGGTGACACTTCTGTTTCCACTGCAGCCTTTGCCTTTCTCCCCTCCCAGCTCAGACCTTCCCTCACTCCCTTATAGGCAGGTGAAGGAGCCAGAACCAAAGTTTGAAGCTCAAGTATTCAAAAAACTTTTTCTCTTTTGTAAAACATCAGGAGAAAACATATCAAAGGCTGCTGGTTAGCATGTTTTCTGCTTCATGTTTCAACTTGCCTTTTTGTTCTATTTCTATTGGAGTTTTAAAAGGTATTTTTTACCCAACATGCTACAGCAAAGCTCAGTGAGCATCTGCCTGAAAATAACTTAAGTTTCAAATTTCAAAAAACAATCCAGGCAAGATTAAAAAAGTGGAACAAACTTAAGAGTTGAGTGCATTTGCTTTCAGAGCCATAGGGAAATGCTCTGCAGGAAGAAGTGTAAAAATCATGCTCCAGAGAGGCCAGAGGCATTTCTGGGGCATGAAGGCAGATCCAAAGGGCAGTGCCTGCAGTGCCACAAAGGGAACTGCTGGGACTCATCAGCCACTGCTTCCTTGCTCGTGTCTACAAACAGAAAAAGGCAATTAAGGTTTGTTACACTCCCACTTTGTGGCACTACAGCAAACACACGGTAGAGCAACAAGAATTGAGTCAGTGGAGAAAGGAAACAGAAGAGAAGCAGCAAAATCCACCCTGAGTGCCCTGTTCTTTGTAGCATTGTGAGGTGAGGTGAGGTGGGGGAGAAGAGAGCTCCTTCTGACATGGGCCACCACACATGGCCTACCCAAACCCAGCCTAGGATAAAACCAACACTGACAGCCACAGCTCCAGGGATTTTTACAATTTAAGCAACAGGCAAAGATCACATCTAGGGAATGCCCCAGGCTGGTCATGGATGGGTGAAAAATCCACCTCAATCAATCAATAACATCTTCTCTGGTAAGTCTTTGGAAACAGGGCTGCTTCAATCCCATCTCAGCTGTCTGGCACACAAAACCTGTCCTCACAACCACACAAACACAGAGTGTACAACCAACACCTGAGTCATGACAGTTCCACAGGAGCTTGGGGCCAATTTTGGTGGCTATCAATAGGTTTGAAGCCCTTTGGAGACTTCATCAGAGCACTCTGCAGCCTCCAACTAGCTGTGCTGGCTGCTCAGTGCCCTCACTGCTTTTCATAGAGGCACTGAACAGTCCTTAGAACCAGCCACAGCTCATCCCCTAGGCAGCACTGCAAACAGAGCAAGATATTCCTGTTTCAGGAATCTGAAATGCCTCTTTGCAGCTCTTGCTCTTGGATACACAGGAGAGAGCAGCTACAGACTGGGAATAAACTGCAGGTAGCACTTCTGAAGGGAAGTGCAGATACAACTAGACAAGAATGTATTTAAACTGAGAAGAAGGAAGAATACAAGCACAGGAGTCAGGAGGTGAGTTAGAAAGCTCTAGTCCTATTCTCTATCTGGTGATTACACACTTCACTCTGATTAGATCCATGCCTTTTACAAGTAGGCAGGATTTTATGCTCTTGCGTTCAGACAAGCCAACACACGCCAGAACTACAACCCAAATATCCCCACCAGGATTTTATCCATTAGTAACAAACCTTTCTTCCTACTGAAGATAATATGCCTTGGATTTGAAGACCAAAAACGCTGATTAATTACATTCCTGTTATTCAAAACCCTGGAGGCAGCAGGAAAACTGTCCAGAGTTGCCTCAATTCTGTTGTTTCCTTGGAAAAGTGGACAACCTGCAACACTGTGACTACGCTGAAGGTCTGTGCAGGATCTCAACAAATAAAAGTACAGTACCTGCATTTCTTGTGTCTTCTTTCACTTTCAGAAGACAAAAGGACACACCAGTATCAGAGATACTGAGCAAAGGAACAGAACAAAACAGGAAATCCTTCCTTCCAACAGCTGAAAAACGATTAACTCGCTACACATGAACTCAAGGTTGAAATAAAAAATTACTTATCCCCCTCACAGAGCAAGGCAAGAAGTTCCACTTGTGACTTCCCTGCCCATCTGCAAACACCCCCCTGATCCTCCTGCCCAGCCCAGAGCTTCCAGGGGCTGCTCCAAGGGGAGTGAGCAGGGCAGGAGGAGCCTGCACAGCTCCCCTGGACTTCTCCTGGAGTCACCAATCCACCTCAGTTCCAGGTGCCACCTACTGCACTTGATGTAACTAGAAATATATTTCAGCTGAGAATACAGAACAAAACTACTGGAAAAGTTTTAGCCTGAGCATTTAGCACACTTCAGCTCACAAGTGAGTCATCCCTGGCTGAGTGTTTCAGCAGGTTCACAGCGATACCCATTATATTTATAAACACCACAAAACACCCATAAAGATTCCACTGGACACATGAGAACATCTTGTTTTCATTGCACTTGCCACACAACCTAAGAACCACACCAAAACCCTGCTGCATATGAATGGATTATTAAAACAGAGAAAAGTTTAATTAAGCGCCTGTAGAGAAATTTAATTTATTTTTATTAAATTACACAACCCAAGACAACATATTACATAGTCTTGAAGATTTCTTTGGGAAATGACCTATCAGGAGTAATTTTATTGCATTTCTACTTCCTGCATTTCAAAATTTCCATGAATATGTAACAAAGACTGTAGACACACCTTTCAGAGAATAGCACAGTCTAAGCATTGAATTTCCCATTTTAAACACATTACAGAGGCACTGGGAATAAAAGTTGCATGGCAAGTCTCAGGATAAACAACTATTCTTTGCTAATTCTGTGCTGCAAAACTATTGTTAAACTGTTAAAAGCGACCTGGAACAATTACAGAAGTTAAAGTAGTTGCTGCAACACTTTCTGAAAAAGAGAAGTGAGAAAACTTGAAGAGTTACAGCCAAATCCAGGACACTGAAGTTACTTTTCTTCTCTGGCAGATAAACACTCAAGACACAACTACCTCAACAAACCCAAATTCTCAAATTCAAGGCCAGCAGCAGAACTATCACTGCTTAGCTGACCAG